TTAGGGGGGCTTAGGGTTTAGGGTCTAAGGGGGATTAGGGTTTAGGGTATAGGGTTTAGGGTGTAGGGTTTGGCGTCGTAACTTAGGGGTCCCTATTTGAAGAGTTCCTATAATAAGGACTGTGTTTGGGGCACTGCAAGAGGGACCTGTATGTCCACCCCTAATCCCTTGGTAAGGCTAATTCTAACAGCGGCTCATACAAAGCAAAAGCTCGTTCTGGAACTCTTCCCGCACCCCGTGAAAACCTGAAAGCACGACGTCAGATACACTTGCAAAGCCCGTGCAACCTCCTGAAGCCTAAGCCGCCCAAAACCTAAAGCTCTACAACCCTAAACCCCTGAAGCCCTAAACCCTAAATCCCCATAAAACCTGAATTCCTAAGCCCTAAACCCTTAAAGCCCCTAAAAACCTAAACCCTTAAGCCCCAAAAACCATAGAGCCGTCCTGGATTTGGTCTTCGCCGGCTCGTGCCTGAGCCGCACCGAGGCGGAGGAGCTCTTCGGTGAGGACCCTATGGCTGACTTGCCTGTGCCAAGACTCTGTGGGTTATATAGCGGTTATATAAAGTTATATATATAGGGTTATATAGGGATTATATTGGGGTTATATATGGGAGGCCATATAGGGATAATGGAAAAGAAAATGGAAACTACTATAATGGGGTTATATAGGGATAATGGAAAAGAAAATGGAAACTACTATAATGAGGCCATATAGGGATAATGGAACAGAACATGGAAACTATTATAACGGGGCCATATAGGGATAATGGAAAAGAAAATGGAAACTACTATAATGTAGTTATATAGGTCTTAGGATTTAGGGTTTAGGGTTCCGGGCTTGAGGCTTTAGGATTCCATGATTTAGCGAGGGGAAAATATTTATCTATGTATATAACTAGGGGAGATTTTCCCTGTAAACATCCACAACGCAAACCCATGACAAATGAAGATGCTCAGTGCAGGGACTTGGCATTAGGCTGAAGGACCTTGGGCGTAGTGTGGCGGGTAGAATTCAAGTAGTGTGGAAAGGTTCCATGATGGGGGCGTAGGGTGACATTGGGATGTACATATAAATTCGGTGAATTTTCCGGGTAATATGGATTAGGCATACTCTGCATTTTTTGCAATACCTGCTACTATAGGCTGATAGGGATCATAGGTGCTATAGATTCGGAAAAGCACATCCTGGCACCCTTAACACAGCTGGAATCCCATGTAGTCACGTAAACACACTTTTGCAGGACGAGTCTTTGCAGGGCTTGGTTTTCAAGCCCATGTCGCTAGAGCGAGCTATGTCTACTTCGAACCAACTCAACATGTATTATGACCTAAATTCTTTAAAGGAGGGGCTTCTAGGGGATTACATATAGGCAAGTATTATAGCGGCAATTCAGGGCGGGTAATAGGAGGTTAGAGTATAGCTCACCTAATCAACAATAGGTGTAGCTCAGAAAAGCCCTTCCTTGTAAGCATCAGTGCACGGAAAAGCTAAAGTTGCAGAGGCTTACAGAGGCTCTCCAAGGTGATGGCGGGTTTAGGGTTTAGGCTCTCCCGGGTGATGGGGCTTGAATCCAAATTTCAGGGTTTAGGGTTTAGGGTTTAGGGTTTGGGTTGGACTATGCACGGTCCTCACAGGCCAAGCGAATCAGAATAGGGGTTTGCAGCATACTATATTCTACTAGTATGAGGCTTCTACTGGAATAGCATTGAGAATTTCACGTAGGCTTATACTCTAGTTGCCAAGTTCCCTGTCCACCAGAAAGTTAACCTCGTAAACATGGCTGGGCTGTATATAGGTTCAGGGATATCCAACCAGCTACTAAACCCTACACCCTAAACCCGTATCGCCAGGATGCTCCATCTTCTCCTCCAAGTCTTCCAGCTGGGCCTCCGCCTCTTTGCTTAGCCTCGCTGGATCTTTTGGGTTAGCTTCGATGGGTTTGAGTTTGGGGTTTACGGCCTAGGGTTTAGGGTTTGGGGACTGAGGGGTCTAGGCGTTAGGGTTTGAAGTTTGCAGTGTAGGGGCAAGCGGGGTAGGCTTGGGCTTTGTGTTTAAGTACGGAGGGGCTAGAAATCATCACTTGGGGGCAAAGGCCTTAGTTATTACGACTAGAACTCACCTACACTCAATCAAGGAATCCCCTCCCTGGAGGATTACTTTCCCGAATATAGCCCAGTGCATAATCAGGGCGAAGAAGGTTCTTACTAGGGAGGAGGTTTATTGTTACCCCACACTGCCGGATTGGAATAAAGCCAAGGTTCCGGTTGAGAACCAAGTCCGCTGCTTTGTTCAACAACACGCCTAGGTCATTTTTGGAATCACTCTGGGAGAGATTGTATATGAGCTGATAAGAAAACAGCTATGTATAGGGAGTACTAAAAGGGATCATAATGTGAGATTGTTTCCTTCATACGATTCCTCTTCAAACATCTGCCATTCAACTTCCAGAAACCCAAGGGTGGTGGCAAAGGCGCCAGGGTTGCTACAGCCTTGATGGTATACAGCGAGAATTTGGCCATGACCTGGTAGTTGCCAGAAATGCGGCTCCCAACATAGACCCCAAATGCCATAATCCTTATTATTGAGACCCCCCGTAAGTAGCCCCAATTTTGGGAAGCCTTCCACTCTGACCCCTACATATATCCCGCATAGCCCCTTTAACGGAACCCTAAATCCTAAACCTTAGACCCTAAAACCCTATTTAACCCCTCCATATGTCCCCGTTAAAGGTACCTGAACCCCAAAAGTAGGTAGAATAATGGCCCAAAACCACTAAATATAGCCCAACAGGCCATTATTCTACATACTTTGGGTCTAGGTACTGCTCGTTTTGGGAGACCATCACCTCTGCCGACACGCCCGACTCAAGCACTTGGCTCAGGCCTCCCAATAAAATCTGACCTTGATGGGATTTAGGGTTTAGGGTTTAGGGGTTTAGGGTTTACGGGTTAAGGGATTTAAGATTTAGGGCTTTAAGGTTTAAGGTTTCGAGCTTAATGTATAGGGTTCGGGGTTGAAGGTTTGGGGTT